TGGAGTCTTCCTCTTTTTTTTTAAATTTAAATTGCAGGTCTACTGCGTTTCCTTTTTCTCTTTGTTCATTGCCCGAATGAATCATTCCTTTCAAAAAGAGTTTTTTTCGCTTTTTCCACTGAGGCGTCCTGGTTTTCTGCTTTATTCGAGGATTCCTTTACTGCATTCATCACGTCATGATATCCTGTTTCTTTTTTGGCGCACCATTCCTTCTGCATGCTCTTCTGTACCATATTATATTTTCCCTCAGATTCAAGAAGGTTCTTAATCCCAATACATGGTATTTGCGGCTGCGAGAGGTCACATATTCCATTGCCCTGCGGCCTTTCTCTAGCAGATTATTACGATTGGAGCATCTATGACCAAAACAATCAATTCAAATTTGTCTTTGTTGGGCTCTTCACTTTTCCTCTTTGCCTTCCGACAGAGGTGAGGATTCTGGAGGGATGCCGGGATGTGGGTTTCCCCCGCCTCCTGAGTCACGTCCTCTCCCACGAATCCCCCCATGAGTTATGGGTGAAGCCGGGGACCCTGAACACTCAGTCGCAACCTTCTTCCCTCGTGTTTGGAGAGAGAGCCACACTCGTCACTCCTCCTGTTGGGTTGCACTACCATGGGGGATGGAAGTGCATCGGTGGCCGGGGGAGAGGATGCATCGCCATCACCGCTGCTGCCCTCTTTCACTCCCAACCCGACGTACGTACCATCCGTTGTTTATCGTTTATCCGTCGTTTATCTCGTGACACTGCGTTGACGATAAGCCTCCCGATGCTGAGTAATGGGACCATGCACAAAATAGAAGTCCTTTTAAGTGAATTTTCCTGTTGGATACTTGCAAAATCAACAGAATTAAAGCTTTTAATCCCATTGTGAAAACGTATTAAAAAATCGCTCATAAACGATGCACCACCTCTTCGCGTATATTATTTTCATTTCGTGTGTGCTTGCGCCACAAACTCAAAGGACGGATTTGGAAAGTTTTAAGAATACCCTTAAGTAACATAACCCCTCTGACAACACTCACTTTAAGAAACGAGAGGGAAAGAAATGTGAGATGCAATCTTATTCCAAATGCAATTCGGAGAAATATTTGAGAAATATTCTTAATAAGAATATTTCTCACATGTCCATGTATATGCAAGAGCTTTCATCCAAAACTAGTGGCTATAGGCTATTATGCAAGATCTACAAACTATAGGCCACGTGGGGTCGGGGATGCCAACTTTCAGCACAATGAAGATATTGGAAGAAAAAAATTCCTATCGAAGACTTAATTTCAAAGGCCTAGTTCCTGTTTGTCAAATACGTAAAATTTGTCATTGTGTTGAAACTGGAGACTGGAATATGACTAGATTGTTGAATGATTCATTTTACGCGGTTGATGCAAAGAAAAGGGCACTCACATGAAGCTACACTTTTTTGGAACGCTGTTGCCTAGGCTCTGAAAAGCACCAAAATTCAGTTTCTGCATATTATCAGCATCATAGGGAATATCATGCGAACTCTTGTTACTAGGTTGCAACGGAAGTTTTTGTGCATACAAACAACGCAACAGTCCGCGAAGCACGATTCTTTCGTTACACATTCAGAACGCTGTAATTTTTTAAATTTTGATTTTAGCGAGAAAGCAACATATATGTATACGCTGCATAAAATGCGCTTCAGAATGATACCAAATACGTATATATAAATTTATTTAGTAAATTATGCTGAAATAAGTTTTGTATTTATGCACAAAAACTTTCGTTACAACCTAGTACTTTTGAAATTCAACTTTTTTGTCACGTCTTCCCATCATCTGCACCACTGTATAGCCTGAAGGAAAAGAGGAGGGTTTTCGACCTCGTGCCGAGTTTCCTCCGAAAACTTGAACCCTTCTACCCATTTCCATTCAAACGATTGCCGAAAAATACTCGAGAGAGCATCTCTTTGATAACAGACTGTCCGCTTCTTTGATCGGAGCCGAAGTCAGCAAAACAAATTAGGAGTTATGCATTCCTATTAAACGACGTCGAATAAAATCTGAACCATGTTCTTTAAATTCTGTTCGGAGTCGTAGCTCCGCATAACTTAGCGATAATAACTCGAAAAGGCGGGAGTGGGTTGAGGGAAAGGGAAGCGGAAACGGCCATTTCCGTAAAGCTACCATGTTCTCCCTTCCTGCGGCCGCTCGCCAAGTTTTTTCCGTTTCTTTTGCCTCATACAATAAGCTTGAAACGCTTGATATTTACCAAAAAGCGTTAAGAGCTCCTAAATCACATACCATGCAATAGCTATACTAGTAGGTAACCCGTGCGAAAGCATGGAATTATTTAAAGGCAATGAATACACATGGCCATGGGAGGCGGTTGCTACCTTCCCCGTCCCCTGCCCCATGGCTGGTCATGTGAGAAGACAGTAGGCGGCAAAAGCACCCCTAATTTCTCTCTTTGCCCCTGCGCTTGGTTAATCTCCATTGCAAAGCACGGGGAACCTACGTCGAGCAAAGATGAAGGGCAACCCAAAGATCAAGGTGTTACCTTAAATCGTCGCCTCGTAAGACGATGTGGTATGTGGACTTTAATTGGCGGCCTCACGCTACTCACATAGAAACCCGCCACGCACGTATCCGAACGTTAGTGGCCTCGTGCCACGCTGCGTGTACCTCATACTATGGCTATGGGAAAGCCACTGAGCTAAGAAATAATTGGAGATGGCGTACTCGTAGCAACAGCATAAGCATGCCTGCGGCAGTTGGAAGCCATACTTGTTGGGCTCACCCCTTACGGAAATGTCCTATAGGAAACCTATAGTTATTTCTTATAGGAAACCTATTGACTTTCCTATAGGTTTTTGAAACACGAAAAACCTATAGGATCCTTTAGAATCCTATAGGATCCCTATAGGGTCTAATAGGTCTCCTGACCTATAGGATTCGGGGAGGATATTTTGGGTTTCGAAACCCAGGCATTACGACGGAAAAGGCGACCGGGGTTAATTTTGGCATAGCATTTCGGTGTAAATCAAAAACCGAATAGGGGCTTTTACATGGTAGGGAGACATGCATTATTAATTCCAGTACTGCGGGGGTCTGCATAATATATGGCCCCGACCCACATGTGTTGCTGGATTGCACGTCTACTTCCTTCGGTAGGAAGAAGTAGTATTCTCCTCTCCTTCTAAGGATATAGAAAACAGAACTTGCGAGCACGTCTCTTTACTGAAACTACATTTGAGGAGTCTATTCAGTTTCGTACGTCGTTTTCAAAAGGAATAAGGGAATATTTCTTCACGGGACTCCATGATTACATCTGGAAGATGGGGATGACAAATAAGGAACTGTCGAAGTTTATTGATTGCTACAATGAGGCAAGGCGAGGCATTTGGGGACGTACAAAACTTTCTTGTGAGAGATGATTCCTTGGGTAAGTGGAGGGCACTTTTGTGCCCTTTGAGAAATGCGAGAACCCAATACTTCCATCTAGTGGCCTAGAGGAGAACTTTAAACGGAACCCTATAGGCCTATGGGGTATCGTATAAGCCCTATAGGGAACCCTATAGGTCCTATAGGTCCTATAGCGTCCCGTATAGGCACCATAGGGAACCCTATAGGCCCTATAGGGAACCCTATCGGTTCTATGTGGGGGCTCTATAGGTTCTTTAGGGAACTCTATAGATTCCATAGGGAGTTGTATAGGTTCCAAACTGAACTCTATGGGGCATATAGGAACCTACAGGATTCCTTTACGTTCCTATAGGATTCTTATAGGATTCCTATATATTCCTAAAGGAATATTTAAGAATCCTATAATACATTTTCGTAAGGGATGGCGCCTAGTCACCATTCACTCCTATGGGATTTCCCCCGTTTTTTCAACCTAACTTTCATCTAAATACTAACTCTTAGGAAAACAGCCCCGACATAGCAGGCACAATATGTTCTTAGGGGAACCAGTAAGCCCAATAGAGTCGTTTCAAGACTTCTTTTTATAATGAATATGGGTCCAATGCTTTAGTTTACGCTAATGGCAGAAAGAGCGATTGGGAAAAGGTCCAAGCAAAATGCAGGCGCTTCAGGGGCGTAGTGATTCGCAGAGTTTAAAGCAAGTCTGCGGGGCGCATCGACAGAGTAAAGGAGCTGGTACCCAGGGATTATCGGAGCAGCCCTACTGAATACGGAAGCATGCCCTGACAAGACCCGCCAGCACCTCTACCATGCACCTCGCGGTCGCCTTTCGTCTCCTTTAGCCTATGTTTGCCTTTCAACGTTCACTTCGTTTTACCGCTCTATGCAGCAGTCGTTCGGACATTATACGTCTTGCCCAGCCCTCCCCCCCTCCCCCCAAGGAGGTATTCACGCCCAAGAAACGGACAATTAATGAGTGGCACTCATATCCAGGATCGATTGTGACCCTGTGTCCCTAAGTCCAACTCCACCTCTTTTCATGTAAGCCTATGAGTGAAAGATACGGATTTAGAAACGGGATGATTACGACGCAGCCGACGTTGTCTTTCCTATCCAACATTAACCGCTCCCTCATACTGGCGAGGAAGTCATCCTTCCTCCCCTTCCTAGGAGTTCACCTTTCATCTCTATGAAAGGGGAATTCCTAGTGTAACACGCGGGGACAGTTTACACATACCTGCGGAAAAGTCCTTTTCGGACCGCCCTAAGGGAGCGGGAGGCTTGCGTAGAATCCTTCTCTCTCCCGTTGTAATGTTAGGGATGGCGACAGAGAGCAATGAGTGACTTTTCGGAGGTGTAGTGGTAGCACGCTTGACCGACAATCAGAATGCCCTGTGTTCAATTCTTGCCATTCTATTATTATCTTTTCGTCCTCTCATGTTATCCGAATTCCCCCCCCCCCCCCTCCTTGGGGTATAACGTTCTCGAGAATAGATCCGACAGTCCAACGGCCGGAAAAAAAAGTGAGCTAGAAAGAGGGAGAGGTACACCTAAAGGCAGGCAGAGGATTTTATGGGGAGAACAAACGCGATCGCGCTGTGGGCACGTGTGTGTCATGTGTGTTACATGCCACCGACTACCGCCGCCGCCACCACCACGAAGGACCACAGTCGATTTTATTGTACGGATTTTTATGTTTCTTTATTGTGCTGAGTATAGATTATTCCCATTTGCCCTTTGCATTAGGGCTTTAGAAGAGTTTGTTTCGGGAGAATTGTTCTCAGGTTTCGAAACTCCAACCGTTTTCAATATGTATATTAATGAATGCTTGCCACAAATTTGGCTAGTAAACTTCTCTAGGTGCATTAATTTCAATTGAATTCAAAGAACAGATATTATTCGCATGTTTTCAAATCGCTAATGGGAAAATCAGGTTCGCTGCTCATTCGAGTACATTGTCATTCCTTTTAGAATGGAAATGTTGTGGTGCTAGTCTCGGACGAGGAGATGAAGCAGATCTTCACTGAAGTTCTCAGAATGATTAATTCGGCGAGTGGGTCAACACTCAAGGATGTACCACTGATCCATCAAGTGAAGGATTACCGAGGCTGTGAGAATTGCGGCGTGATGTGCGTGGGTGTCGAGGACGCTTGGATGGTGGAGGGGATCTCCCGAGCCATCCAGACCCTCTACATTGTCGACGGGGGAACTTCTGCTGCAGCACAGAGTCGAATGGGCCTCTGGATGGAGATGGAAAGAAGAGGCCTTCTTCTTCATCGCCCATTAACATCTTCCAATACCCTTGACTCCCTCTCTGGTGACGATTGGAAGGCATTAAATCAAAGAAGCCTCTTTCTAAAGGTGCCATTTCAAGTCTCATGGTCATTGTTACCTCCATTCCCAGGCTTAAGCCATTCATCTCAAGTGGTCCTAAAGTGCTTGCGGTACCGACTGGGATTTTGCCCTTAAAAAGCATGGGCTCAAAGGGTTTGAGAAACTGATAAATTCAAAATTGCAGCGATCTAGGTCAAACGGCGTTTGAAATGTAACTCTTGAATTTTTGGGAGGGGATGGTAAAATCATCCCTCAAAAAATTTCAATATCTCCACGATAACTTGATGTTGAAAGCCCTTTAATAGCTCATGTTAATGCGAGTATCCAGGCATTTATAGCCTATCTTTGATTTTTCCTGCCTCAACTTGTAAAAAGTTACAAATTTATTAAATTCCTGAAAACGTCAACATTTTCTACCCCACAAAAATTTGATAAAAATACTTGTAACCAGATCAGATTTCGAGTGTCTTTCATACTCTATGTAGCCAAAAAAAAACATTTTGTTTTGGAATCTTTAAAAAATCCTGTTATGCTTACTTAAAGTAGAAGATTTTGCTATGTTCGTCCAACTTTCACCCTCAATAACTTTTCTTCGGTTCCAAGTACATGTATGCTTCTTCCATATAATGATACATTTGTCAAAGCTCTTTCGAGACATTATAGTTTCACTGTGTTGCTCCGAAAGACAGAACGATTATAATTTTTTTCATTAATCTAGAGTGAGATTTACCATCAAGAGCATAAACACCCCAGTTTTTGGCAACTTAAGTCCATCGCAGAGTTTGCAATGGCTCCTCTGAGTTTGAAGCAAACCGTAGCAATGATTCTGCTTCAGTAATAAGGAGAGAAGATGCAAATACTCCGGTGATATTCATATTCCTTCATTTCGGAAGTGCATGAAGAAAATGAACAAAATTGAAAAATGCGACGAAAAACCCATTTATTGGCCACTTCCCACCAGTGTTTGCATAGTTTGCATAGTTATTTGCCACAAGCATTTTTTAAATGAAGCAGGAATCTTCTTTACAATTTAGGGAAAACGAAGTGTAATTAAGTAATTCGGTCTCCTTCATCGAAGGATAGGCTCACGTCATCTTCATTTTAATTCCACCTCCTGCTCAATGCCTCCTTGCAAGTATGACTGTGCTTTCTCCTAGACCAGTTTCTACTTTTTGGGTCGTCCCAAACCCCTACCACTCCTGAACTTGGCATCGTTATCGGCTGCAATGATTCCTGATGGTGAAAGTCGATTCCGTTGTCAAATCCGTCATCTTCGGCAGTCGCGAGATCAGCAATGGCTGAAAGTTCACTTCCTCCACTCTCCATTTCGTACTTTCTCTACTTCGCATTAGCATTTTTTGTCCTTTTCTTGTTTTCTCGAAGTTCCTCGGCTCTCTTTTCCTCTCTGACCTTCCTCTCTTCCTTTTCATATAGCAAACATTTCTTATGTCTCTCTCTCTCCCTCAGGCCCGAAGAGAAGTGGGTGGAGGGGGTTCAAAAGGGGCAACCATCTGATACCTCATAATCTCCAATACGTAGAACTGCTGAGTAATCGCCCCCAATGCAGCCAAATTCTTTCATCAATACAGTCAACATGGCTAATTGATTCAGCAAGTCCTTACCTGAAACTTATGAAATTGAAAGTTGTTATGAGTATGAAAGATACTCCAAAGCTGGTCAAGTTACAATATTTTCACTGAATTTTGTAGGGGTTGAAAATGAGATGATTTCAGAATTTAAATCAAATTGTAGCTTTTTCGTGTTGAGGCACAACAGAACTCAAGGAAAAGGTCATAAAATGCCTGGATACTCGCTTTAAAATGAACTGAAGCTTTCAACTCGAGTCATTCGGGAGATATTGAATGTCTTTGAGGGGTGATTTTACTATCCACTCCTAAACTTTCAAGAGCTATATCTCAAACACAGTTTGACCTAGACCGCTGCAGTTTTGAATTGTTATCAGTTTCTCAAAACCTCTGGTGCATATGGTTTTTAGCAGCAAAATCCCAGTCGGTGCAGCAACAAACTTCTGGAAAATTTTACTACTTGACATGGAATGACTCACGTGTTGTGTTTTTGTGAAATCTCATGGAAACGTGTGAATGGATCTCTCATGAGTTTCTTTATGCAGATCCCTAAGTTTACGGAGATAGATGATGATGCTGGGAAGGATACGTCTTCTCCAGAAGGTAATTAAAAACCATCATCCACAGTCTCTCATCATTATCACTTCTAGTGGAAATTTAATGGAAGGAAACAAATGAAGAATGAGACGAGACCACCTTATTCTTCATTTAATCGCTGCCTCTATGGTGACATTCAGTTCGTTGAGGCCAAAACTTCGCGAGCCAGTTTCGTCGTAGACACAGATCGCATATAAACGGCGAGGCATGAGCTTGCAGACAATTGTTAAAACAAGATGAAAATATTATAAGGAAATAACGGGGTATTTCATGTTTCTTATAAGCTGGGAATGGGGAACGGAACGGTGGAAAAGTGTCTCTCGTTTTCGAGTTTTTTTCCTTAGGAAGTTTAGCCTAAATGAGGTAGGAATAACTGCACTTATTAGGACACTCATCAGAGTATTGAATTTGAATCATTGGTTAAGGAATTAGAAAAACCCCCGCGGTTTCTGATTTTGCGGCTTCCTATCGTAACAGCAGAGTGTAGAAGTTGGTATTTCATGCCTTCCAAAATTCACTCGAAAGAATAGAATGGATGTAAGCTTTAAGTGTCCACTCAATACCAAAGGCAGCATTCATCTGCTCGCATCACTTCCTGAAGGACTGCTATGATTCAGAATATCCTGACAGCAACGAAAAAATCCTGAGAAATTATGCTTTCTTTGGTCTTCCATGCATCATCTGACGTCATCCTCGAAATGGATGGTGCAGGAACATTCAATGCATCTATATCTCTGCATATTCTGTATCTATACATGGATCTCACTGTTAGGGTAGGTCCAATCTCACTGATGAATGAGTGATGAGAGTGATCAAATTAAATTAGTTAAAACAATTAAAAGGATGTAACAAAGAGAGATGGGCCCCTGAATCAGTAGTTAAACAGAATATCTAACAGACATGATTCCTAAGGTTACACAAAGGCTATGTTGCAAAAGGAAAAAATTGCCTGAGTAAAGGACTTGGCTTTTACTTTGGGATTATGCTCTTGCCGAGAAAAAATTGTAAGGTGAGGTAGCATTCGTTCTTGGCGAAGCATTCAGTCAATCGGAAATCCCTCTCCCTCTCCCCACCATCTCCTTGGAAGGTTTCTTTACTCGGATTCCGTTTCCCATGCAGGTGCTACAAAGATTTTTGCCTTGGGGAAAGACAAGAAGGCGCAAGTGGGGATGTGGGAACTCCCCAAGAACACTCTCTGGGTCCAGGAAGAACATTCCTTATCAGACCTATTCCTTGCCCAATCCTCTATGCTGATCCACGGGACAGGAGGGGAAGTCCGGATTCTTTATCTAGAGGGGAAGGATCCCCATGAGGCACCTCATAGATGGAACCACAAACTCCAGAACCCCCCCGATTTTATCGTGGAAGGTACTACAGGGGTGGGGATCCGGGACTCCCTTTTTCTCTTGGGAGGGAAAAGAAACCCCCATTCAGGACACCGACTGGATCTCCACAGCGACACCTGGATGGAACTCCCTCTGATGACTCAGGGGAGAGAGGACGCAGCTTCAGTGATGTTGGACGCCCATACCATCCTCGTCTTGGGGGGTGTGGACCCTGAAAAAGTAAAAACCCTCTCCAGTTGTGTGTGTTTGGACGTGAGAACAAAGCAGTGGATCCCCTTTCCGTCAGAAATCCCCCTTCCTATCAGCAGCCATGCAGTGACCCTTTACGATGATCATGTATACATCTCGGGCGGATTCAGAGATGATGCATCTTGTCGGGAGGTGTGGAAGTGTGGGGTGAAGGGGGTAGGGCCATGGGAAACTCTTCCCTCTTTACAATTGGACAGACATGATCATGGGATGATGGGAGACGGCGCAGGGAGATTTCAAGTCATCGGGGGGAAACATCAAAATGGATCAAAGTATACGGATGTCCTTTCGACGGAGACTCTGACCTTGCACGGAGGAAGAGGATGGGAGATCAAACACGAACTTCCCTTCATGAATGTTTGGAAGGCTTGTGCGATGCATTGAGTGGGACCCCCTTCCCCTCATTCCGGGTTGCATATATACAAACCCTCCTCGATTTAGGCACTCACATGCCTAGCAGGTGAAGAAGCGTGAGAGCGGGAGCGTGAAGGCGCGTGAACCCTCTGTGATTTCGGCACCGCCCTCTCCTGCATGCCAGAGGCGAGTGCAGGAAACCAGAGATGTAATTGCGCATGCCTCATCTCTCATGCTCTGAGGTCCATGCTTGTTCCGCATGGCGCGTTCGCTGCAATAACTTGATACGGACAAGTGCACGCCTCCCCGCATGCTCTAATGAATGAACATGAATGAAGTAAAATTGAAATCCTTTTAATATGTTCTGGAGCTAGCCCCTTTCCATCTAGCGATGGAAAGGGGCTAATGATAAGATCAAACATTAATAATTAAGAGGAAGCCCACAAATGGATGGAATAATTTTCCTCTGCAAAGTCCACGACCTGGATTGTCAAAAATACATTTCCCCAGTTGAAGAGGTGAGTGAAAGTACACATATATAAGCCTGCATACAGGGTGTAACAAAAGTCAGAAATCAATAGGCTTGCATAAAGGGATAATTTCCAGGCCGAACTCTTTGGAACTCACTGGCTAACCTGAATTGACATCATAATGAAGCAGTTATCTTGCTCCTAAAAGCTGGTCCAAGTGACTCAGAATGACAATGAGTGACCAAAAGCGACTAAAAGTCACTCAAAGGGACCAATCGACTCGGGATTCTGGAGTTCCCTGAGTACCTTGTGTATTCAAATGAACTTCAAGCGAACAAAAGTGACTCATTTCTCCACTTGTGTCAAAGTGTCTGGAGCGACCCAAGTTAAATTATAACTTAATTGATATTAATTAACTTAGGTATACTTTGGTAATTTGTGTAAAGTTTGGTCAATGGTCAATCTGGGTTGCTTTCATCACTTGGACCAAAAATTGAGATTAACAGAACTTTGGCATAACAGTTTTAATCCAGATTGGCATGTGAGTTTCCAAACTGTCCAGGTTGGAAATGCTTCTGTGATTCCTGGTTTTTGTCACACCTTATACACTTAGGTCTATGCGTACAGGGTAGGCACTAAGTAACTGAACACGTTTAAATGCTAATAGAAACAAGACAGTTCAATGGATCTAAGAGCCATTTTTCCATTGCTCCATTGCTTTTCCATTTTTCCAGGAGCCATTGAGGAGGGTTTGTATATATGCTTCCGGGTTCAATTAAACTCACACGGAGGAATCTCGGGCAAGGAGGAGGGAAAGACGGAGTTCTGTGCACGAGATACCTTTTCCAAGTCTTCTTTCCACTCCTGTTCTTTTCCTCGCAAATCCAGATTGAGGGTGAGGTACGATGAGAGGTCGCCCATAAAAGCGTTCCAAACAACGGATTCGGTTGAAAACCAAAAAGTTCATGCTTACTGCATTGGCACATTCATTCGGAAAAATACCTTCGATAATCATTGAAGAATGCTACCTTTTTAGAGTTTTTTCCCCGATCAGCGAGCAATTTTCATTCAGGCTTCTAATAAAGCTGATATTTATTTCCCAGAAGCAGGATCATTGATCTTGGTCCTACGAAGAGCAGCAGGACCTGTTTCACCCCGCTCCCTTCCATCCTCAAGCATCGCTTTGTCATCATCCACTGGGCCATAATCACGCTAGAGTTTGTCCCTACAACTCGAACGAGACACGCCGAATGCATTTCCCACTCCCAAGTATCAGATGTAGAATGTGCGATGCTTCCCGTAATTAGAGACCGCAATTTGCCTCATGAAAAAGCCACACTTCTATATATTCTCAGGGTGTCCCAAAATTAAATCCCAAAAGTAAATGCGTGTCATTCAAGCATCGTTTAACGAAAATCCACAAAATTTGACATAGGAATTGACATGGAATAGGGATTTTGACATACAATTTTAGTGTGGAATGTTTTATTATTCTCAGTTGAAGGTGAATAGATTTGTTAGCAATTTATAGGAAATGTAAGTTTTTCGACATCGCAATTGTTTAATCTGCAGGCGAAGCGCGTTTGAATCATGGTTCTCCTGAATTCTTTGACAGTTTAGGTGACAAATTGAGCAAGAAAACCTGTAGAATCTGGGGTCAAAGAGAATCCGTTCGAAATTCAATTTCCCCTTCATTCTCCCTGACTCACTGTCTGGTGCGGGATGTAGAGCGAAGGTCTGATTGGTCCGTTCATCTTCCAAGGAAACGTGACCAAAGACTCTTACCTCGACCTCCCGAAGACGTACCTGTGGCCCCACGTCTGCCATCTTCCGGAGATCGACGAAATCGTATTCCAGGAGGACGGCGCACCCCCACATTTCTCGAAAGAGGTGCGGGCCTGGCTGGAAGAGAGCTTTCCTCAGCGTTGGATCGGAAGACGTGGACGGATCGCCAGGCCCCCGAGAATCCCAGAGATGTCCCTCGGAGACTTCGCTTTGTGGGGGCATTTGAAGCAGCTGGTGTACCGAGAGTCCCACAAGGATTTGAATTCGCTCCAGAAGGCCATCGGAAGGCCATTAACTTCTAAAGTCTGAAATTTTCTGCACGCAGCATCTCAATAGGTAGTTATGTACCAAGTTTCGACTTTCCACACCAGCTCAATACGCATGATAAAAAAAATTACGTGAAAACGTCGGCCCTTAAAAATATGCCCCCACAGGGCATGGATCTTATATTTTACATTTTTAATGAGATATGCGTACCAGACATGACTATGCCTGAGACATGCCATGTAGCTATTCGCAAGCTCAGTTCAGGAAAAATTCTATTTTTGTTGTGCGTCTCCTCAGAGCACAGCTTTTGGGTGGATCGCTTTTCCAAAAACATTATTTTACCGCCAGCAATGAGGGGAAACATAGAAGCCTGAAACTGGGTGGCATGGAGTTTCCTGAGTCTACATTTTAAAAGAAAAAAATTTTCATCATAACCCATCTGGGCACTTTTTTTGGAGTCCCATTTTCCTTATTTGGTTTTTTTTATCCAACGAAACAGAGACAGAAAATTTAAACTTCCCTCAGAAGTGCCTCTTTGATGGTGGAGTAAAGGAAAAATCCTACTTTTGAAATTTGTCTCCTCAACGTTAATTATATGAGGCAGGTATTTCAAAATGTATTCTCCACCCTTACAAAAAGGGACACAAGAAAACAGTTCTAGTTAGACACACTAGAAATAACAGAAGTAATGATTTTGATAAAAATCAAGACTTTCGTCCCTATAAGTCACGTATTTCAATGTGGACGTACATTAAATATGTGTTTGCCAATTTGCAAAAAATTAATGAATTAATCACTATCCAAGGTAATGGAGCGCCAAAGGCGCAACTATAACTCGCTGTTAGATACGAGTATATAGACGTTCGTGACTGACTGACTAACGCTAATTCTATCCATGTTCTTCATAAGTTAGAAATCTGTGATTAAGCAAACATGTACCTACTGGGATGCAGAGTTCAGAAAAAATCCGTTTTGGAGGTACATGCCCTCGGGGTACATATTTTGGGGGGAGAAGATTTTAAAGATATACATTGTGACGGATTAGGATGGCATCGGAGGCGTGACTAAACATATGGGGTTCGGAGGTGTAGTGGTAACATATCTGACCTACAATCAAGAGATCCGGGTTCAATTCCCGCCCGTTCCGTGGCGTTCTTTCGGCCTCTTATGCCTTCCAAGTCGCGTTTCTCATTCCCCCTCCGTAACAATATTTTTGCTTTAATAAAACGGAGAGACATGGAAAACCGAAACTTTGCATGGACATGCCTACCGAGACTCATCGTCTCGGTAGGCATGTCTGGTACGCATATCTCATGAAAAATGTAACATATAAGATCCATGCCCTGTGGGGGCATATTTTTAGGGGCCGACGTTTTCACGTAATTTTTTTTGTTATGCGTATTGAGCTGGTGTGGAAAGACGAAAGTTGGTAGATAACTACCTATTGAGATGCTGCGTGCAGAAAAATTCAGACTTTATAAATAAATGGGAAGGTGAAACTTGGCACACGTATAAATGACATGATATTATTATTATTGAGTTGAGGGAGTATTCAGCTTTCATGGTACATCCCCTCCTGGTATAGCTTTTGGGTGCGTCGGCTTTTCCAAACATGTTTTTTTCACCAGCGAAAAGGGCAAACGTGTAAGGCTGAAGCTTTGTGGGCATGTAGTTCTCCGAGGATTGATTTCGGCAAAAAAAAGTACTTTTCGGTTAAAATACCTGAGGGCACATATATTGCAAAAGGCGTATTTTTTCGATGATGATTAATGATGATAATTTTCATCATTCATTACGAAAGGACACGGTTCTTGCGTTATCTTCTGGTTTTAGGGCTCTAAACAGAATTTATGGGACGCAGCACGGAAGTGGAACAACGCGTAATAGTGGGCAATAAAGAGAGCACATATGTGCTGACTCATCTTTTCCGTACCATAAATGAGATAGTGCACTGTAATTCAAAACAACGACACGATCAGGGAATGGAGACGAAAAAACATGTGAATAAAGGCGGAAAATGCGCGATATGGGCCTGGATAGGGTGCTCTTCGTTCATGCCTGGCATTCAGATGACAAGATGGAATCTTTGAATGTTGTAAAAATATCCATTCTGGCAAATATTTTCCCATATCTCTCATGTAGTCGCATCTCGATAAACTCATGGCAAAAACGCATTTCATCCCATTGCGATGAAGACATTCAGCAAGGGTGAGATTGCTTGTGCATGGTTGAAAATGTAGCTGAAAAATATTTTTTAGAATTCCAATTTGACCAGACTCATGCAGTTCGTCCTAAAACACATTAGCAAGCTAGTCTGAAGCTATCTTGCAAATTCTATCTTGCATTGAGGCTATCTTGCATTCAATGATTTCAAGTCAAGGAATGAACTTAAAAGGATAAAATTTTCAGGGTTTCTTCCCATGACAAAAGAGGTAATAGCAAACACAGAAAATTGGAAGGAAAGTTATACTTTTTTTCAAATGATAAGTGTTTCTTCATTAGGAACCCTACCAATCGCCCTGAAAATATCGCCAGACATGAACCGGTCATTCTGTTACGCAACAATGATGCAACGAATGCGGCAGAAAAAGGTTTGGAGCGGTGAAATGTATTCGTTTAACGCGAATCGGGAAAATAAATTTTAATGGAAAATGATCAATGTTTTTCCATCCTGAACCCTACCAATCGCACTGAAAATCTCGCCAGACATGGACCGGTCATTTTATTATGCAATCTTCAAGCAGCAATAGTGGCACCAATCAGATTATAAGGCTAAATTACAGTATATTCTAATTTTGTGGCACTAAAATTTATTTCACTGGAATTTATTTGTGTTACCCTGTCAGAAACCCTTCCAAAGCCTTTGAAACTCACGGTAGGCATTGGCGTGTCTAGGTGTTACTCAACCTTGATGTAGCATTAGCGGCAGATATATGTTTAACGACGGGCAGGATCTGGCCCGCGGGCCGTGGTTTTAGCACCCATGCCCTAGGGCGTGTCTCCCGAATATAAAAGGGAAGGGAAGCCTTCGGGCTGTCTTCCCCACAGACTCCTCGTGCATCGCTAACCATCGAATTGGCGAGCTCCACTTTGACAATGAACTCTGAATGAAGATGAACCCTTTCAGTAGCAGTTCCAGAAAATTTCCGGGAAAAAAAAGGTAACTCCAGTTTCACGCCCCTTTCACTCTGGGAAAGGAGTAAAAGCACCCCCATCAGAAAGTGATTGGGATGTCATGCAAATGCGAAAATTCTCATTAATACCGTGTTCCGCTTGCGCTCTCGCACAGGCGATGACCTACCTCTGACTGTACTGATTGCAGCACAGGTCAGAGGGCGGACCACCTCTAATAGTTTCAGTTGAGTGTCCGAGACGGTAGTTCTTTATTACCTCATTTAACTGAGGCGTGACTGAATCAAGTCCACGGACAATATCTATCTAATACTTCAATTCGAAGAGATCAAAAGTTGCGGGGGTGGTGGCCATAGCTATCACCCACAACGCGTAGGCCTACGGTGCAATGCCTTTCTAGGTCATAGGCCAAGCCATCCGCGGCCTAAAGCGCCAGGCCTTCAAGGTTACGCCATTCCAGGCCCTCTTATACCTTAATTCGAAGAGCCCCAGCGCGCGAGGCCTACAAAACTACGTCACTTCAGGCCATAGGCTAGGCCATCCACTCCTCTAAGCGCCAGGTCCCTGAGGCTACGTAATTCTAGGCCATAGGCTTGGCCATCCAACGTTTTTAGCGCCAGGTCTATCGAGCTATCAATCTGAGTCATAGGCTT